CAACACTGGAAGCCCCATAGGTTTGAATCAATTCATCCGTCTTACAATCTGGAAACCCCGAGTTTTGAGTGAAAGCAGACGTCATCGACGCTCCCGGTGGAATAATATATCGCATTTTTTGGAATCATGTAGTAAAGGCCTTAGGATAGAGCCATCGGTGATAGAAAAGAGCGGATATTATTTCAGGTACACCAGACGTTGAAACAGACCTATTCAATGGAGAACTTTGAGGTTGCCAACAAAGTGCCAATAAAAATAGAAAAGCAAAAATGAAAGGAAAAGTTATTTAAAAAACATACGTCGCTCATAAATAAGGTTGATTCCGGACGCGGAGGGTATATGGACAGAGCCTGGTCAGCAGAGCGTGAGGATGGCTGACTTGCAAGTTCAATGTAAGCAGTCACTTTGGACACTGGGCCAACATCTTCGATCGGCAGGGTGGACAGGGCGACCTTGATGCGTATTTGGGACTTCGCGTCCGCAGCTGAGTATGAATTCGCAAGTTCGTTGCCCAGATCAGCCATCTGACTGGGTTCAAAAACTAGTAACCCGAAACATCAAGTAGAATGACAATTGGCTACTGATTTGTACAATTACTTCATTTTATTCGATAGTAGACGAAAAAATAGTTCAAATTTACACGGATTCTGAAAGGCTAATTGATTTAAACACGCTACTTGCAGGCACTTTGCTATCAGACCGAAGGTAAACTTAAATAATTGCTGCCTATTGGCCGTCATAGTCAAAGCCTAGACCACTAAGACTCCAGCTGGCCACTTGCTAAGTCAAGAACTCTCGACCGTGACCAGGACGATTCAATTTTATGCAGCATTACAGTATCTGGACAAATAGTGATTTCCGGAAAATGAGCATATCGGTTTAGCTTGAAGCCCTTACTAGCTGTTGCATAATTGGCGTGAAGTCAAAAATCAGAAATGATTACTTAAAAGAACAAGAAGCGTCAGAATGGTTAATCCGGGAGGATGCGGAGTTCTTTCTCTTGAGCGTTTGTCCTACCCAAGATCTAAAATACCTAAATCCATCGACTATCACATGCGTTGATTTGATAACACACACGGGGTTTAGGCACGACGTACGTTAGAGAACGAAGGAGAAAAAGAGAAATTGCGTAGTTGCGGCCAAGCACCCAAAAACGAACTACACCTGGAACGTATCAAGTCCAACGGCACCTGTCTTTTTATCCTAGCGCTACAGGCCTAATGCACATTTAGACTGCGCATAAAACTGCTTATTAAAAAAACTCGGTTCTAAATTACATTACAAGCATACCTTAGCCAAATGTTACGAACTAAATTGCAGCCGATCCAAATATCATG